TTATTATTAAAAAAAAAATTAAAACCAGTGAAATTTACCAGTAGGGGATATTTTTGTTTTTATTTTATTTTATTTTTTGAGACAGAGTCTTGCTCTGTTGCCCAACCTGGAGTGCAGTGACTTGATCTCAGCTCACTGTAGCTGTGCCTCCTGGGTTCAAGTGATTCTTGTGCCTCAGCCTCCCAGGTAGCTGAGAATACAAGCATGCGCCACTACGCCTGGCTAATTTTTGTATTTTTCATAGAGACGGAGTTTCACCATGTTGGCCAGTCTGGTCTCGAACTCCTAACCTCAAGTGATTTGCCCACCTGGGCTTCCCAAAGTGCTGGGATTACAGGTGTGAGCCATCATGTCCAGCTGCTGAGTTTTTAATTTCTGATAAATTGAGATTTCTTCTTCACAGTCTGCAAAGTCTGCAACCTGGGTAATGAGATAATGGTCACGGACAGTGTAGCAACTTATTTTAATTTTTTTGAGGTAGGGTCTCGCTCTGATGCCCAGGCTGGAGTGCAGTGGCACCATATCCATCCACTGCAGCCTGGACTTGCTGGGCTCAAGAGATTCTCCCGCCTCAGCCTCCAGAGTAGCTGGGACTACAGGCTCGAGCCACCACGCCCAGCTAATTTTTGTATTTTTTGTAGAGAAGGGGTTTTGCCATGTTGCCCAGGCTGCTTAGCAACTTTACTGTTTGATTCTTTTCACCTGTTTGTGACAAAGATTAAAATTCCTTAATCTGGCTGGGCGCAGTGGTTTACACCTGTAATCCCAGCACTTTGGGAGGCCAAGGTGGGCAGATCACAAGGTCAGGAGATCAAGGCCATCCTGACTAACATGGTGAAATCCCGTCTCTACTGAAAATACAAAAAATTAGCCAGGCATGGTGTCATGCGCCTGTAGTCCCAGCTACTTGGGAGGCTGAGGCAGGAGAATTGTTTGAACCAGGGAGGCAGGAGTTGCAGTGAGCAGAGATTGTGCCATTGCACTTCAGCCTGGGTGACAGAGTGAGACTCCATCTCAAATAAATAAATAATAATATCCCTTAATCTGTCACAGGAGTAGAGTTTAAAAAAAAAACCAAAAACTTGAGGTCTCAGCAGCACCAACTGGGTGAGAGGGGCAGGAATGTCACTGTGACCAAAGTGGGAAGATGCCCTGTGTGGGTGAGGTTGTTAGGGTAAAACTGGAGTTTTGCAAATGATAGAATGGGCATTTACACAGAATGAAAATGCAGGTTTGCAAATCTTGCCCCAGGGAGCTGGAAAGGGGAACTGTGTGATGAATGGGAAGTGGGGAGAGGTTCAGAATAGCCAGTCCTGGAGGCTTCACAATTTGCCGCTTAGCTTCTGCTTTCAGCATCTGCTGTGACCAGATGGTGTGCAGTGATCTCTGGCCGGCTGAGCCAAAAAGTGAATGAAACTTCTTCAGTCTTTGTATAGACTTTGTTTGGTGGGGAACAAATTGTCCTACAGCAATCAGCAATGAACAATTTCTCTCTTTTATTGGAATATCTTATCTTTTTTTTATTTTTTTCTTTTTGTTTCTATTTTATTTTATTTTAAAATATTTTATTTTTGATTTCTACGTGAACTATGTCGACATCCTGCTTAAATATAAATTGAGGATTTTTCTCTAATCATGAAATCCTTCCTCCCCTACCCCAACCAAATTTAGCCATCCTGAAAGGTTTTTCTTTTCTTTTTATCTCTCTTTATTTCTTCATATGAGCTGTGGCTTTGTTGTAGAAAGTTTTTTTTTTTTTTTTTTTTGGAGACAGAGTTTCGCTCTTGTTACCCAGGCTGGAGTGCAATGGCGTGATCTCGGCTCACTGCAACCTCCGCCTCCTGGGTTCAAGCAATTCTCCTGCCTCAGCCTCCTGAGTAGCTGGGATTACAGGCACGTGCCACCATGCCCAGCTAATGTTTTGTAGTTTTTAGTAGAGACGGGGTTTCACCATGTTGACCAGGATGGTCTCGATCTCTTGACCTCGTGATCCACCCGCCTCAGCCTCCCAAAGTGCTGGGATTACAAGCGTGAGCCACCGCGCCCGGCCTGAAAGGTTTTTCTTATAAACAGCTGGCCTTCCTATCCTCAGTGATTCTTCAACTGGAAGAACAATACCATTGAAAGAGGGAACACTTTTATGAATTTCTTTTTTCCCATGATATTTGGAAATCATTTTTTATAATAACTATATTATTTAAGTCACATAAATTACTACAGAAATATAAATCTGTGAATCTGTGTTTTTTGTTTTGTTTTGTTTTGTTTTATTTTTTTGAGACACGGTCTCACTTTTTTTTTTTTTTTTTTGAGACAGAGTTTCGCTTTTGTTACCCAGGCTGGAGTGCAATGGCGCGATCTCGGCTCACCGCAGCCTCCGCCTCCCGGGTTCAGGCAATTCTCCTGCCCCAGCCTCCTGAGTCGCTGGGATTACAGGCACGTGCCACCATGCCCAGCTAATTTTTTTGTATTTTTAGTAGAGACGGGGTTTCACCATGTTGAACAGGCTGGTCTCGATCTCTTGACCTCGTGATCCACCCACCTTGGCCTCCCAAAGTGCTGGGATTACAGGCTTGAGCCACCGCGCCCGGCCTGGTCTCACTTTTGTCACCCAGGCTGGAGTACAGTGATGTGATCTCGGCTTATTGCAGCCTCTACCCGCAGGGCTCAAGCCATCTTCCGGCCTCAGTCTTCCAAGTAGCGGGACTATAGGCGTGCACCACCATGCCCAGCTATTTTTTTTGTATTTTTTGTAGAGATGGGGTTTTGCCATATTGCCCAGACTGGTCCTGAACCCCTGAGCTCAAGTGATCCACCCACATCAGCCTCACAAAGTGCTGGGATTACAGGCACAAGCCACGTCTCCCAGCCTGAGTCTGTGTTCCTATGTTTGTAACTTCCATATAGCTATATCAAATCACATATATTTATAAATTAAAATCCAAAAAACTAAAAAAGTTAAAAAAATTAAAATTAACATTATTAATTTTTTTTCAGGGGAGGGAAAAGTATGTAAATTTTCTTTACATAACTGACTAAAAAATATATACAAGAAATAGAAAACATAATTTAATACAGTCTCATGCGCCCTAACATCATTAACTTAATGTGACAAGTGATATATGAATGAAATAAAATTACTGGAAACATGCATATTGTGCAGTCAGGTATAGGGCAAACTCTTTCACATTGGGTATCCTGCACCACCATGTGCTGTGCTGAGCTATGACTCAGGTCTCCCACCATTTTCCTTTTGTTTTCTTAATTCCACCACAATGGAATGAAGGTGTTGCTTGGCTGTCACTTGACATTAATACCACGCAAAAGCCTGTTCATGAATGTTCATGGCAGCATTATTAATAATAGATAAAAATGGAAACAACCCAAATGTTCATCAAGAGATGAATGGATAGACAAAATGTGGTATATCATACAGTGGAATATTACTCATCCATAGAAAGAAATGAGTTTTCTTTTTCTTTTTCTTTTTTCTTTTTTAGATACAGGGTCTGGCTGTGTCACCTAGGCTGGAGTGCAGCAGCTCCATGTCCCCTCACTGCAGCCTCCACCTCCCGGGCTCAAGGGATCCTCCCGCCTCAGCCTTTGGTGTAGCCTGACCACAGGCACACAACACTAATTTTTGTATTTTTGTAGAAACAGGGTTTCACCATGTTGCCCAGGCTGGTCTCGAACTCCTGAGCTCAAGTGATCCGCCAGCCTCAGTCTCCCAAAGTGCTGGGATTACAGACGTAAGACACAACTGTACCTGGGCAGGAATGAAGCTCTGATACATACTACAATATGGGTGACCTTTAAAACATTAGGCTAAGCGAAAGAAGTCAGTCACAAAAGACCACATAATGTATGCTTCCATTCACAGTGTATTTGAAATGTCCAAATTAGGTAAATCCATGGAAATAGAAAGTAGAGTAGTGGTTACCAGGGGTTGGGAGGAGGGAGGTGGGTAAAAAAGAGTGACTGCTAATAGCTATGGGGTTTCTTTTCCCGGTGACGAAAATGTCCTAGAATTATGGTTAGGCTGAGCGCGGTGGCTCACGCCTGTAATCCCAGCACTTTGGGAGACCAAGGCGGGTGGATTGCTTGAGGTCAGGGGTTTGAGACCGAGACCAGCGTGGCCAACATGGTGAAACCCAGTCTCCACTTAAAGAAAAAAACAAAACAAAACAAAACTAGCCAGATGTGGTAGCGCACTACTGTAATCCCAGCTACTCAGGAGGCTGAGGCACAAGAATCACTTGAATCTGGAAGGCAGAGGTTGCAACGAGCCGAGGTTGCACCACTGTACTCCAATCTGGGAGTGGGCTACAAAGTGAGACTCTGTCTTTAAAAAAAAAAAAAAAAAAAAATTAGTGGTGATGGTTGGCACACTTTGAAACCATAAACGAAGCCAGATACAGTGGCTCACATCTGTGATCCCAGCACTTTCGGAGGTCAAACCAGGAGGATCCCTTGAGTTCAGGAGTCCAAGACCCGCCTGGGCAACACAGTGAGACCCCCATCTCTACAAAACTTTGAGAAAATTAGCAGGGTGTGGTGGCATGCACCTGTGGTCTCAGCCAGTCCGGAGGCTGAGGCGAGAGGATCACTTAAGCCTGGGAGGTCAAGGCTGCAGTGATTGCCCCACTGCACTCCAGTCTGGGCGACAGAGCAAGACCTCATCTCAAAAAAAAAAAAAAAAAAAGAAAAGAAAAAAGAAACGAAAAAGACTACTAGAGGGTACATGTTTAAAGGGTAGATTTTATGCTATGTGAATATATTTCAAGTAGCAATTAAATTAAAATTTTTAAAAATTGTAGGGCTAGACAGCGCTTATAGAGGCCCCTGCACAACCTAGGGAGCGGGGGCGAAACCCAGCAGAACCAAGATAGACCAAGAGCAGGACCCGCCACTGTCCCTTCCGCAGGCCCGCGGTCCTCGCCACGCCTCCGGGGGAGGGAGGTCCTGGCTTGGAGAGCGATGATTGCTGGCTTCTAGGAAGAGGCGGAGCGAAAGGGGGCGCGTTAAGTCCCTCCTGGCGCAGCGAAGCCTCAGCTCGCGAGACTTGGCTGGTTCCGCATTTCGGGTCTGTGAGGTGGGGTTGACGGGCGAGGCGGGCGTCGAGGTTTGCGAGGGCTCGGAGCGGCGGCGGCCCGGCTTCTGCTGCCCTTGAGCTAAGGACTGTCCGCTCCCTCTCGCCGGCACCGAATCCTGATCCGGGCGGGGGCCAGCGGCCCCTTGCCTCCCCTCTGAGGACCGGAGATGAGCTTCCTCTTGTGAGTGGCGCCGGGCCGCGGGCGCACGGGCCGCGGGCCGAGGTCGTGGGGGAGGCCTCCCCAGACCTGAGGCGAGGGCTGGGCCCGGGGGCCGGGGCGGGGCGGGGTAGCTGGCGTTTGTTTTGCCTCTGTTGGGGCCCGTGCGGGAGGCCGAGATGTTGGGAGAGGCGGACAGAGATGAAGGTCGAGGTAGAGGGAACGGAGCGAGAAGGCTGGGGAGCAGAAAGGCCCTGGGGCCGCTGCGCCTCGAAACTTTTCCGCCCGAGCGCCCCCAAGGGCGGGGAGATGATCTGGGGGCGGAGCCGCGGGCCCCCAGTTTCTTTCGTCTGGAGCCTCTAGAAAAGATCCCTGCTGCCTTAGCTCGTCGCTCTGTTAGAGGTCCAGTTTCATTATTGTCAGTGTTAAATGCCGCCCCAGGAGAGTGTGCAGTGCGGCGGTTTGAGAGGGTTGATGTTAAGATGGGGGCCGTGGAGTCAGATCGTTCCGTCCAATTCTGATTCTGCCCACTTACTGGCTTTGATTTTAACTACTCTTGTCCTCGGTGGAATCATGTGTTTTTAATCATTGTGTAATACACCGTATTTTTACATAGTACATTGCAATATTATTATAATTTGAAAAGTTAAAAAAAAATTCATTCTTAGTCCCATTACAGAAACACAGTATTGCCATTTTAGTGCACTGCAGCAGTTAACTTGATACACATACCTTAGAATCTCATTTTAGAGATAATGCCTGAGCCCAAACGAGGCTCAAATTAAAAAGTTTGTAAATGGATGATTCTTATGCACATTAAAGTTTGAGAAACATTGCTCTAGCACAGTATTTTTTATTCTCAGGTGGCTCTCTCCACCTCATATATTGCTTAAATGTGGGTTTTGTGATTGAATGAATAATTATCCACTTTTAGTTATAGATATAATCCACAAGCTTGACATTTTTAAGTACAATATAAAAAGCACGACATAGTGGGTTTTTTTTTTTTTAATAACCAGAGTTTGCCCACTTTATTGTAAGAAACTGTAAGTATTTGCTATTATAAAATAGCACTGTTAAGACTGTTTATCTGCGTCTCATTTTCCCTCCTTTGGGTTATTTTTGTAAAAGAATGATCTCTGAAATATGATGACGTTGTCAAAAAGCTTGTATGATTTAGATTTATTTCCATATTAATAGAAGTATTCCCCCCTCCTCCACTTTTTTCTTATGAGTCGATATTTAGTGAATGCATAGTTGCTTTGTGGACCTTAATGTGAGATTTTTTTTCTTTTTCTTTTTGAGACGGAGTTTCGCTCTGTCACGGAGGCTGGAGTGCAATGGTATGGTCTTGGCTCACTGCAACCTCTGCCTCCTGGGTTCAAGCAACTCTCCTGCCTCAGCCTCCCAAGTAGCTGGGATTACAGGCACTGGCCACCACACCCGGCTAATTTTTGTATATTTAGTAGATACGGGGCTTCACCATGTTGGCCAGGCTGGTCTCAAACTCCTAACCTCAGGTGATCCACCCCCGCACCCGACAGAGACTTCGTTTTTTTAAAACTTGACCTTGATGGATGCTTGAGTTGTTCCCGATTTTTGGCCATTATGAATAATGCAGCTGTGAACATATGTGACAGGTTTTTGTGTGGATGTATGTGTTCATATCTGTTGGGTATATACCTAGGAGTGGAATTGCTAGGAGTGGTTTACATGGTAACTAGGTTTAACCTTCTGAGGAACCACCAAACTTTGAAAGTGCTGCACCATTTTACATTACCATAAGCACTGTATGAGGGTTCCAGTTTCCCCACGCCCTCGTAGCACTTGTTAATTGCCTTTTTTTAATATAGTCACCCTAAGTGGATGTGGAGTGGTATCTCCTGATTTTGATTTGCATTTCCCTAATGAGTAATGATGTTGAGCATTTTTTCGTGTGCTTATTGGTCATTTGCATATATTCCTTGGAGTAAAGTCTATTCAGATCCTTTGCCCGTTTTGAAATTGGGCTGTCTGTTTTTGAGTAATAAGAGTTCTTTATGCATTCTAGATACAAGTCCTTATCATAGCTATGATTTGCAAATATTTTTTTCCCTGTTCAATATAGTTTTTTAATCATGTTAAAAACTTTCCATATTTGATTTTTAGTGTTTTCATAATTCTCTTTTACTTCTTAATCAGTCTTATTTAAAGTCCAAATTACTGAGGTAAAGTAAAAGTCCATAGTCTATTCCATTCCTCTTCCTAGAAGTAATCACCAGTTTTGATGAGTTTCGTTTTTGATACTTTCTATGCATTTACAAAATGGGCTCCTGCGTACATTTGGTTGTGTAATATGTTTAACCATGTGTTGAGATCTTTCTCTGTAAATACATGTACTCTATCTGGTTTTCCTAATTTCTTTTTTTTTTTTTTGGGGACGGACTTTCGCTCTTGTTACCCAGGCTGGCGTGCAATGGCGCGATCTCGGCTCACCGCAACCTCCGCCTCCTGGGTTCAGGCAATTCTCCTGCCTCAGCCTCCTGAGTAGCTGGGATTACAGGCACGTGCCACCATGCTCAGCTAATTTTTTGTGTTTTTAGTAGAGATGGGGTTTCACCGTGTTGACCAGGATGGTCTCGATCTCTTGACCTCGTGATCCACCCACCTCAGCCTCCCAAAGTGCTGGGATTACAGGCTTGAGCCACTGCGCCCAGCCCGGTTTTCCTAATTTCTATACAATATCCCCTGATATGGATGCTCCCATAGTTTGTTTGTTTGTTGTTTTGTTTTGTTTGAGATGGAGGCTCGCTCTGTTGCCAGGCTAGAGTGCAGTGGCAAGCTCTTGACTCACTGCAACCTCCACCTCCTGGGTTCAAGTGATTCTCCTGCCTCAGCCTCACGAGTAGCTGGGATTACAGGCATGTGCCACCACATCCAGCAAATTTTTTTTGTGTATTTTTAGTACAGACAGCATTTCACCCTGTTGGCCAGGATGGTCTCAATCTCCTGACCTCGTGATCTGCCCACCTTGGCCTCCCAAAATGTTGGGATTACAGGCGTGAGCCACCGTGCCTGGCCCAGTTTCTTTAATCCTTTACTGATAAACTTTAGGATTCCTTCTAGGATTTTCACTATTAAAAACAATTTTGGAAAACAAATCCTTATCCATATCTAGAGAAGATATTTAGAAGTAGAATGGGTGGATTGAGGATCTTTTCAGTGTTAATAGATACTACCATATTGCCCTCCCAAAAGGTTACACTTTATATTTTCACCAATAGTATATTAAAGTACTAGCTTCTCTGTACCCACGTCCAGCAGTCTCCAACATTTTTGGCACCAGGGACCAGTTTCGTGGAAGACAGGTTTTCCACAGATCTGATTGGGAGGGATGATTTCTGGATGATTTAAATGCATTACACTGATTGTGCACTTTATTTTTATTATTACAGTATAATATATAATGAGTAATTACACAAGTCACCATAATGTAGCATCAGTGGGAGCTCTGAGCAACTAGACAGTCCCATCTGGGAGTAATGGGAGACAGTGACAGATCATCAGGCATTAGATTCTCATAAAACAAGCAGTTTAGATCCCTTGCATGCACAGTTCACGATAGGGTTCACACTCCTGTGAGACAGGAGGTGAAGCTCAGGTGGTAATGCCAGCAATGGGGAGCGGCTGTAAATACAGATGAGGCTTTGCTGCTTGCTCACTGCTCACCCACATCTGTGGGGCCCAGTCTGTGGCCCTGGGGTTAGAGGCCCCTGCCCCAGCCCACATTTAATGTAATCATTTTAACTTTTGACACTCAGATTAGGGAAAAAATAAATCTTACTTTAATTGAACAGTTTTTTACATGCTCATTGATTGTCATACTTTTACTGAATTGCCTATTCATCTCCTTAGCCTATTTTTCCAAAGGGTTCCTTATATTCTTAGTGAGTTATAGAAGCCCTCTATTACCAGTTCATCCTTTGTAATATATGTTACAAGTACTTTTTTTTGGTTACTCCTCTTTTTGCTCTGCTATAGAAGTTTTAATTGATACTATTTGAAATCTGTCAATTTTTTCTTTGAGGTTTCTGAGTTTTGTGTCATGTTAGGAAGACTTTATGGATAGTGTCAGGAATAAAAATATTTTTTTCCTCAATAATGAATTGTGGCTGTCTCATTTATTTTCCCTGTTATAAACTTAAAGATGTTAGTGTTTCTTTTACTGTGGTTTGCTTTCAAGGCATCCCAAATATTTTGATACAGAAAACTGGATTTTTGAACTAAACTTCCCTGCACCATTTTCTTTCTATCTCTCCCATCCCTCATGAGGCCTTGCTATGTTGTCCTGGCTAGTCTCGAACTTCTGGGTTCAACCAGTCATCCCAACTTGGTCTCTCAAACTGCTGGGATTACAGATGTAAGCCACTCACTGCACTTGGCCCCACCATTTTCTATAGGTGAAAATTGAGGCTAGGCACGGTAGCTCATGCCTGTAATTCCAGCATTTTGGGAGGCTGAGGCAAGTGGATCACTTGAGGTCAGGAGTTCAAGACCAGCCTGGTCAACATGGCAATATCCCATGTCCACTTAAAAAAAATAATAATAATAATTAGCTGGGCATGGTGGTGGCTCCTATAATCCCAGCTACTTGGGAGGCCGAGGCAGGAGAATCGCTTGAATCCTGGAGGTGAAGGTTGCAGTAAGCCAAGATCACGCCACCACCTTCCAGCCTGGGTGACAGAGTAAGACTACATCTCAAACAAAAAACCGGAAATTGAGGCCAAAAAAAAGTTCAGCTTCTCAAGAAGACACAGTTAGTGTCAGATCAAGAACTAAATCTAGGATTTTCCTTTGGTTAAACTACCCTCTCTGTACTAGTCTTCTTCGGAGGGCATAGTGAAATTGCCTTATTTGTGAAATTGTGCTGCTAATCTTGCTTTTATGTGCAGGGGAAAGAAAGCATTCTTTTATTGTGATCATCATCTTCCTATCTTGGCATTTTTCAGAGCGTATGCTTTTTTGTTTCTTTTTTTTTTTGAGACAGAGTCTTGCTCTGTTTCCCTGGCTGGAGTGCGGTGGTGCGATCTCGGCTCACTGCAACCTCTGCCTCCTGGGTTCAAGCGATTCACCTGCCTTAGTCCTCCGAGTAGCTGAGACTACAGGCATGTGCCACCATGCTCAGCTAATTTTTGTATTTTTAGTAGAGACGGGTTTCGTCATGTTGTTCAGGCTGGTCTTGAACTCCCGACCTCCGGTGATCCCAAAGTGCTGAGATTACAGGCATGAGCCACTGCGCCTGGCCCAGATAGTATTTTTTATTTTATTTTTACAGACGACTTTATATGTCTAAAATTATGTTGTTCTACCTTTTGTATTTCCAGTCTTAAAAATTCACATGCTTTCACTTTTAACCTTACAGCAGCAGCCGTTCTTCTAAAACATTCAAACCAAAGAAGAATATCCCTGAAGGATCTCATCAGTATGAACTCTTAAAACATGCAGAAGCAACTCTAGGAAGTGGGAATCTGAGGCAAGCTGTTATGTTGCCTGAGGGAGAGGATCTCAATGAATGGATTGCTGTAAACAGTAAGTTTTAAAATGCAACTTTGCTGTTTTACAGAAAGGTTTTGCCAAAATCTCTTGGTTAATGAATTTTCTTTGACAGATATAACTGTTATAATACAACAGATCATCCGTAAAGAAACATTAAGTACAAAAACATCCAAAACTATGTTGTTCTTTTCAGAGTACTTGGTGATAGCTTGTAAGGTTGAGTAGAGGGACCTGAGAAGAAATGATGAGTGCCTTTGGGCAGTTTCTGAGGAGAGTAGTATGAAAAGCTGAGTATGGTCAAATAAAGATTGATAAATGAAAAGATTATGCATGTCATGGTCTGTGACTTTGTAGTGAATCCATCTATACAGTTTTTCTTCCACTCCCAGCAGTACTCATCAGCCTGTATATCCAGAAAAGTCAGTTGCAGTTCATATGGCCAGTCAGTTGATTGTTGTGACTTCAGAGGGAATTGAGAGATTGGGAGAAAATGGAGGGATCTGAGGTGGAAGTCACTTTGAGTTCAAGAAAACGAGGGCATGACATGGGACAATATGCTAAGGCTAGAGATTTCAATGTGGGAGTTTCTCATTTCTGAGATGAGATCATTTCTGGGTGATAAAAGTTTAAATTAGGAATTTCAGCTGTTCCAGGAACGTTTAAAACGTTTTAATGGAAAATTTCAAACATACAAAAGTAGAGAGACTTAAGTACAGTGAATTCCAAGTATTCATTCCATTATCCAGCTCCAGCAGATATCAATTTGTGACCAATTATGCTGCTTCTGTATGCCACCTTGATTATTTTAAGCAAATCCTAGACATGATATTTTATCTATAAATATTTCAGTAAGGTATGTCTAAAAGACAAGAACTTGTAAAGATAATGACAGTGCCATTATCCTTTAACTTACCAAATACCTGGTCAGTGTTCACATTTTCCCTGACTGTCCTACAAATGTTTTTGTTTGTTTTTGAGATGGAGTCTTCCTCTGTTGCCCAAGCTGAAGTGCAGTGTTCACCTCCTGGGCTCAAGCTATTCTCCTGCCTCAGCCTCCTGAGTAGCTGGGATTACAGGTGCCCGCCATCATGCCCGGCTAATTTTTGTATTTTTAGTAGAGACAGTGTTTCACCATGTTGGCCAGGCTGGTCTCAAACTGCTGACCTCAAATAATCTGCCTGCCTCAGACTCCCAAAGTGCTGGGATTATAGGATTAGTCAGTTTTCCATATTCATGTGGGTCTATTTCTGGGCTCTCTATTCTGTTCCTTGATCTACTTGTCTTCTCTTTTACCAGTACTACACTATCCTGATTACTGTAATTTTGTAGTAAGTTTTAAAGTTGGGTAGCATTGGCCCTCCCAATTCTGTTGATCTTGAGATCTTCAATATTGTGTTGGCTGTTCTGGGTCTTTTGCTTCTCAGTATAAACTTTAGAACCAGTTTGTCAACCACAAAATAACTTGCTGGAATTCTGACTGGGTCTAGTGTCTTTTTTTTTTTTCTTTGTGAGACCGAGTTTCCCACTTGTTGCCCAGGCTGAAGTGCAGTGGCACCATCTCAGCTCACTGCTACCTCTGTCTCCTGGGTTCAAGTGGTTCTTCTGCCTCAGCCTCCTGAGCAGGCATGCACCACCACGCCCAGCTAATTTTGTATTTTTAGTAGAGACAGGGTTTTTCCATGTTGGTCAGCCTGGTCTCAAACTCCCAACCTTAGGTATCTGCCCACCTTGGCCTCCCAAAGTGCTGGGATTATAGGCATGAGCCACCATGCTGGCCCTTGTTGTCTTTTTATGTGGTAATAACCAGCTATTGATAATCATTTTCTTGATCAATGCTGTCCAATAGAAATATAATATGAACTACATATGTAATTTTAAGTTTTCCAGTACCAACATTTAAATTTTTTTAAATTTTTTGTTTTTTCATTCAAAAGCCATATTCATATTGTTAAGAAAAAAGAACAAGGTGCAGAACTATGTAATGTGTTATCTTTTTTATAAGAAAGGGTAAAGAAATTTAGGAGACAAAAGTGAATAAAGTGGTTACTTGCATGTAAGGTCTGAGAGGAATTGGAATGTTTGGATTGTAGACTTTTCACTCTATATTTTAACATATTTTGAAATTTGAACCACATGAGGCATTATTTATTCAGGAAAAACCCCTTTTTAAAAAACTTTATTCAGATTATCATCCGTTATTCTGAAGGCATTTATTGACCTTAGCCTTAGATGTTTTTTTTGAGACTTAACTGCTATAGATCAGCAGTTCTGAATTATCTTGGTCTCAGGATCCACTCATCCTCTCAAAGAATTATTGATTCCCATAAATATACCACTCTGTGTTAATTCAAAAAATAAAATACAAGCCAGGTGGGGCAGTTTACGCCTGTAATCCCAGCACTTTGGGAGGCTGAAGTAGGCAGATCACTTGAGGTCAGGAGTTTGAGACCGGCCTAGCCAACATGGCAAAACACCATCTGTACTAAAAATACAAAAATTAGAGCTGGGCATGGTGACCGGCACCTGTAATCCCAGCTACTTAGGAGGCTGACGCAGGAGATTTGCTTGAACTTAGCAGTCAGAGGTTGCAGTGAGCCAAGTTCATGCCACTGCACTCCAGCCTGGGCAACAGAGCAAGACTTCATTTCAACAACAACAAAAACCCTATGTTGTAGCCACAGCTGGAGTCTGGGTTCTCTGCACAGAGACTCTGGTGTGGGTATTGAGGAGGTGGTCAGTGAACTGCTGATACGGAGACTTGGTGAATACAGCCTCCTTCCAGAGGTTGGGGGTCAGGTAGCTGTAGTCTTAAAGATGGCATCAAAGGTAGCCTTGGTGAAGTTGCCCAGGGTGGCAGTGCAGCCTCTGGCTGAGATGTAGCAATCATCAATACCAGTCATCATGAGCAGCTTCTTGGGCACAGGTGCCGAGACAATGCCAGTGTCCCTGGGTGCGGGGATGAGATACACCAGCACAGAGCCACAGTGGCCTGTCACCTTGCAAGGGATGGTGTGGGGCTTGCCAATCTTGTTCCCCCAGTAGCCTCTGCGCATGGGGACAATGGAGAGCTTGGCTAGGATCATGGCCCCATGGATGGCAGTGGCCATCTCCTTGGACCCCTTAACACCCAGACCGACGTGGCCTTATAGTCCCCGATGACAACAAATGCCTCGAACCTGGTCCGCTGGCTGGTGTGGGTCTGCTTCTGCACCGGCATAATCTTCAAAACCTTGTCCTTGAGAGAGTCCCCAAGGAAAAAGTCAGTGAACTCAGATTACTTTATGGGTAGGGAGAAGAGATAGATCTCCAGGGACTTGATCTTCGTGTCCTTGACCAAGTAGCCCAGCTTGGTGACGGGCATCCACTCCCTATCCTTGGCCTTGCTTCTGCGAGCTCCTCGGCCCCAGCCCTGGATGCTACTGCTGAAACCTCCATGGAAGCCACTGTGGTTCCTCATCCCAGGGTGTCTGGGGGCCTCCGACCACCCCCTTCTTCCCACTCTCTCTGCCCCACTGCATCTGCATCATCCGCCATTTGGTGTTTTTTCGGAAAATAAGCTATTTTTTATTTTTCATTTTTATTTTTTGAGACAGTATCACTCTATTGCCCAGGCTGGAATGCATTGGCACGATCTTGGCTTTCTGCAGCTGCCTCTTGGGTTCAAGCAGTTCTTTCACCTCAGCCTCTGGAGTAGCTGGGATTACAGGCATGTGCTACCATGCCTGGCTAATTTTTGTATTTTTAGTAGAGACACGGTTTTGTCACGTTGGCCAGGCCAGTCTTGAACTCCTGGCCTCAAGTGATCCGCCTGCCTCAGCCTCCCAAAGTGCTGGGATTACAGGCATGAGCCACTGCACCCAGCCCAAGTTCATTTTAAAATAACAATAATAAACCTATTAATTGTTAACATAAATATGTTTTTATGAAAAATGATTGTTTTCCAAAACGAATTTTAGTGAGAAGTGTGGACTTGTTTTATATTTTTGCAAATATTTTTTGTTGTTGTTGAGACAGTCTCGCTCTATCACCAGGCTGGAGTGCAGTGGCACCATCCCGGCTCACTACAACTTCCATTTTCTGGTTTCAAGCAATTCTCCTGCCTCAGCCTCCCAAGTAGCTGGAACTATAGGCATGCACCACCACGCCCAGCTAATTTTTTTGTACTTTTAGTAGAGATGGGGATTCACCATGTTGATCAGGATGGTCTTGATCTCTTGACCTTGTGATCCACTTGCCTTGGCCTCCCAAAGTGCTGGGATTATAGGCGTGAGCCACCGCGCCCAGCCGGTAAATCTTATTTAACGTCCGGCTTAATAGACAGCTGGATTCTTTTTTTTTTTTTTTTTTTTGAGACAGTCTCGCACTGTCACCCAGGCTGTAGTGCAGTGGCGCGATCTCAGCTCACTGCAATCTCTGCCTCCTGGGTTCAAGCAATTATCCTGCCTCAGCCTCCCGAGTAGCTGGGACTACAGGCGTGTGCCACCACACCTAGCTTATTTTTTTGTATTTTTAGTAGAGACGGGGTTTCACCATGGATGAAAGGATGGTCTTGATCTCCTGACCTTATGATCCACCCGCCTCAGCCTCCCAAAGTGTTGGGATTACGGGCGTAAGCCACCTCGCCTGGCCACAGCTGGATCCTTATATCTGCTGCTGTATTCAGTCTGTTGTGATATCACACATCATAGAGCCTCTGGAAAACACCATTGTGCCCTCTTGAGAGAATAAGTGTGAAAAGAGCAATTAAAATAGTTTGACCTCAAAGATCCTCCCTCAGATAGGGGATTCCTAGACCACATTTTGAGAAGAGCTGCTCTAGACCAAACCAACTGCCACCTGGGCATATTTTTTGATTTGAGTGAATATTGAATATCTAAGTGTTAACTTTCTTAGAAACATGACTTAGCAGAATATTTATAAGCAAGGGAGTTTTGTGTAAAATTCCTTTTTACAAGATAGCATTAAAAAAATCTATTTGTTTTTAAAAAAACTTGGAAAATCCCTAGTTGTTTTTAGGTACTTCTTTAGACAGGAGACTAAAACTTATTACGTATTAATTTTTTTGAGGCAGGGTTGCCCAGGCTGGAGTGTGGTGGTACCCTCACAGCTCAATGCAACCTTGGAACTCCTGGGCTCAAGGGATCCTTCCAGTTCAGCCTCCTGAGTAGTTGGGACTACAGGCGTGTGCCACCATATATAACTAATTTTTAAAAATTTTCAATAGAGACTGGGTCTAGCTATCTTGCCCAGACTGGTCTCAAATCCTGGCCTCTTAAAGTGCTGAGATTATAGGCATGAGCCACTGCACCTAGCCTAAAATATTTTTTAAAACCTTCTAAGGCTTATGTGGTTCTCTTTGCATAGAGTATACTTCACTCAGTAAAGTTTATTTACTCACCCGCTTCCTCTTCCATTTTATTCCAGATCTAGCTGAAGCTCCTTGAGGAAGTACTCCCTGACTACTTCCAACTCTTTATGACTTTGCCTTTTCTCTGAACTCTCTAGCATTTATTGTTGGCCTTTGGAGTCTGTCTTCTTATATCTTGTACTATTATTGCTGTTATTATTTTGAGACAGGATCTATCTCTGTCACCCAGGCTGGAGTACAATAGTGCCATCACAGCTCACAGCAGCCTCAACCTTCTGGACTCAAGCAGTCCTCTCGCCTCAGCCTCCCACATAGCTGGGACTATAGCTGTGTGCCACCATGTCTGGCTAATTAAAAAAAAATTTTCATAGAGATAGAGGCTCACTCTGTTGCCCAGGCTGGTCTTGAATTCTTGGGCTCAACCAGTCCTTCCACCTCAGCCTCCCAAAGTGCTGGGATTATAGGCATGAGCCACTGTGCCTGGCCATAACTTGTATTATTCATCTCGTTTAATTTTGTCCCTTCTATTAGCTAGAGACTCCAGAGCAAGGGAGTTTATCTGAGATATTTTGTCCTCAATATGCTGTAGACGTCATAAACAAATGTTTATAATTAATTAGATTTTTTAAATGCCTCCGGATACAACTGGTGTACCTTCTCCCTCACAGTATATTCCACAACACATTTTGTCTCTTTCCTAACACAAATGGTATTGCCTGGTCCAAATTGATAAACTATGGATTTTTCATTCTCTTGGATATAATCATATTGTATACAATATACAAAAATTACAATATGCAGTATACAGAGATTAGCCAGGTGTGCCACCATGCCAGGCTAATTTTGTATTTTTAGTAGAGACAGAGTTTCTCCATGTTGGTCAGGCTGGTCTTGAATTCCTGACCTCAGGTGATCTGCTGACCTGGGCCTCCCAAAGTGCTGGGATTACAGGTGTGAGCCACTGCGCCCGGCCCATATTGTATATTTAAATGATGTAATAGTCATCATTAAGTTAGAATTATCTCCAGTATCTTATTTTCCTGCTGTTATATGCTGGTGGATCACGCGGTCAGGAGTTCGAGATCAGCCTGGCCAACATGGTGAAACCCTGTCTCAACTAAAAATACAAAAAAACCCACAATTACCCAGGCATGGTGGCATGGGCCTGTAATCCCAGCTACTTGGGAGGCTGAGGCAGGAGAATCACTTGAACCTAGGAGGCGGAGGTTGCAGTGAGCTGAGATTATACCACTGCACTCTAGCCTGGGCAACAGAGCAAGACTGTCTTGGGAAAAAAGCTTAATATACTAAAAGTTAACTTTTTTTATGTGTGACAACTTAAAATTTACAGTATTTTTGGATTATTGAATGTCTCAGGGGTTCAGCCAAGAACCTAAATGTCTGTTTTTCCTTCAGCTTCAACTCACATTTTGTGTTTACACAGACATTTTAATACAGTTCTGTTTATCTCTGCAGCTGTGGATTTCTTTAATCAGATCAACATGTTATATGGAACTATTACAGAATTCTGCACTGAAGCAAGCTGTCCAGTCATGTCTGCAGGTCCAAGGTACATATACTGCCTATTATATAGGTGTTTGGATTGCTTTTACTTTATCACCCGTTGATATAAATTAAATAATTAAGATTTGTTATCCGTTTGCTTGTGTGAAGGTGATTCAGTTTTATTGGTTGTTGACCACTCACCTGTAAGCTTTTAGTTATTTTGTAATTTATTTCTTTTTCTTTTTTTTTTTTTTTTTTGAGACAGAGTCTTGCTCTGTCACTGGGCTGGAGTGCGGTGGTGTGATCTTGGTTCACTGCAGCCTCTTGCCTTCCAGGTTCAAGTGATTCTGATGCCTCAGCCTCCCAGGTGGCTGGGATTAAAGGAGTGTGCCACCACTCCCAGTTAATTTGTTTATTTTTGGTAGAGATGGAGTTTCGCCACATTGCCCAGGGCTGGTCTCAAATTCCTGGCTTCAAGTGATCCACCTACCTTGGCCCCCCAAAGTGCTAGGATTAAAGGCGTGAGCCACTGTGGCTGGCCAGCTATTAGTTACTGTTAAATACTTTGGTATGTGGGTACTCCCTGTTTTCATTTTTATATTGCATCATAGTAAGTCGGAATGTTTTATTATAGAAGTAAACAGAAATTTGAGTTATATTTGTCTTGAATAGCAAACATTTTATTTTTTCAATTTTATTAATAACATTTATGTTTCCTCTTTCTAGTTTTTAAATGAATTTCTTGGAGTTTTTAGTTGACCTTTAATATTTGATTTTTTTTTTCTTGTGCTTTTTTTTTTGAGACGGAGTTTTGTTACCCAGACTGGAGTGCAATGGCGCGATCTCTGCTCACCGCAACCTCCGCCTCCTGGGTTCAGGCAATTCTCCTGCCCCAGCCTCCTGAGTCGCTGGGATTACAGGCACGCGCCACCATGCCCAGCTAATTTTTTGTATTTTTAGAGAGACGGGGTTTCACCATGTTGACCAGGATGGTCTTGATCCCTTGACCTCGTGATCCACCCGCCTCGGCCTCCCACAGTGCTAGGATTACAGGCTTGAGCCACCACGCCCGGCTCTTGTGCTTATTTAGTATCTAAAGCAGCACACTTTAGAAGTAATTATGTGACTTGAAGATGCTAGATTTAAAAATGTTTGGGCTTTAATAAATTTCAAGAATAATGAAGAAGATGGAACTCTATCACTCATAATATTAAATCCATCATATGATAGGATTAATGTTTGCTGTGTTTCCTTCCAGTTTTTTTTCTTATAATAAATGACTGATTTTATGTGATGATAGATGTTATCAAGATGTTTGCCTCTTAGAAATGATTGTCTTTTCTGACTTTGCTACAGGTATAAAGGAAAAAAGATCACTAATGACTTTATAGTCCTATTTTTATTATACTATTTTAGGAAAAATGTTTTATGTTGTGTTAAGTTTTATTCCTCAAGCTTTAAAAGAAATTAAACAGGAAAGTTAAACTTACCTATGGCTCAAATGCCTTACACAGTGATGTTTTGTATAACTATTGTTAATCCTTCCAGCTCAGCAAAGGTAAGGGGGGAAAGTATGCATTCTTAATTGTATATCTCTAACACCTGGTCCACAAAACTGAGTTTTATAATCTTGGCTCTATCAGTGATAATAAATTGATGGCCAAGAATCTCAGAAGAACGTAGTGGATTCATTGGCTCCTTACCCAGTCCTCAGTAACCATCTGCCTTAGCAGACAGGAATGTAGTTCCTTCGTGTTTCCCAGGGCTGTGTTGTTTATAAAACATCTATCCTGGCATTTCCTCCTGCCACATTATCTCCCTTTTTTCTCCCAGTTATAACTGTCACTCTCAGGATAATTCTCTAGGGAACTCACAGTAATCTTCAGCAGACTTTAGGTGATTTATTAAAGTTAGCTATAACTTCTGTTGACAAAATGTGAATGAACCTGTTTTAATTACAACTTGCACATTTGTTAATATTTTTGAAAAATTTATCAGTAAAACATTTTTTCTCTCCAGATATGAATATCATTGGGCAGATGGTACTAATATTAAAAAGCCAATCAAATGTTCTGCACCAAAATACATTGACTATTTGATGACTTGGGTTCAGGATCAGCTTGATGATGAAACTCTTTTTCCTTCTAAGATTGGTGAGTTAACATTGTAGAAGTATTCTCTCTTTTCTAAAAATTTTATTTTATTAATATAAATAGAGATGAGGTGTCTCACTATGTTGTCCAGGCTGGTCTCAAACTCCTGGCCTCAAGTGATCCTCCTGCCTTGGCTTCCCACAGTGCTGGGATTATAGGCTTGAGCCAGTGTGTCCAGCCTGTTTCTGTTTTTAACATTGTTATACTAGTAGAGACTGCCAAATTCTCCTCCAAAAAGTTTGTACCAGCGTGCACTCCTCCAGCCATGTTTGTGTTTGGCTATATTTCTTCACGAACACTCGTTATTATTCATTTTTTAATATTTTCTAATTTGATTAAATTTCTGTTTTAATGTACATTTAAAAAGCACTGATGAGGCCGGGCACAGTGGCTGATGAGGCCGGGCACGGTGGCTCACGTCTGTAATCCCAGCACTTTGGGAGGCAGAGGCGGGCGGATCACGAGGTCAAGAGATGGAGAGCATCCTGGTCAACATGCTGAAACCCAGTCTCTACTAAAAATAAAAAAATTTAGCTGAGTGTGGTGGCACGTGCTTGTAGTCCCAGCTACTCGGGAGGCTGAGGCAGGAGAATTGCTCGAACCCGGGAGGCAGAGGTTACAGTGAGCCGAGATCTCGCCACTGCACTCCAGCCTGGTGCCTGGCGACGTAGCGAGACTCTGTCTCAAAAAAAAAAAAAAAAAGTATTGATAAGATTGAGCATTTTAGCATTTTTTTGTGTTATTGATTGTTTTCTGCTTATATCTTTCATCTATTTCTGTGTAAAAGATATTAGCGCTTTGTCATACATGTTGTATATATTTTTCCCGGGGTTACCTTTTGTCTCATTTTGTTCATGGAGTATTTTTGCTATATACAACCTTATTGTTTTGTCCTATTCATTATATCTTTTGCAACTTGGTTTTAATATAACAATTAGAAAGCTTTTCCCTGCTTCAAGATTATAAAAATCTTGTTTTTTTCTTTTCTTCTTCATGTTTTATTTTCTTTTTTTGAGACAGAGTCTCATTCTGTTGCCCAGGCTGGAGTGCAGCAGCGCGATCTTGGCTCACTGCAACCTCCACCTCCCAGGTTCAAGCGATTGTCCTGCCTTAGCCTCCCTAGTAGTTGGGACTACAGACGCATGTCACCACGCCTGGCTAATTTTTTTTTTCTTTTTCTTTTTTTAAATATTTTATTTACATCCAAGTACTTGCAGCATTGGCTAATTTTGTATTTTATTAGAGACAGGGTTTTACCATATTTGCCAGGCTGGTCATGAACTCCTAACCTCAAGTGATCTACCTGCCTTGGCATCCCAAAGTGCCGGGATTATAGGCGTGAGCCACCAGGCCAGGGCAGGAAGGTTTTTTTTCCAGTGCTACATTAATTTTTTTCCAAATAGAAATACTAATCAGTTTGTCCCAATACCATTTATTAAACACATTTGCCTTTTCTCCCCTGATTATCTTATGCACACAACAAATTGCCACATACTTTTCTGTGTTTTAGTCCCTTTATCCATTCCTGTAGAAATTCCACACTTTTAGTGACTGTGGACATGCATCTGATAGCATCTTGTAAGGATAGTCTCCCTTCCTTGCTCTTTTTCAGAATATTCACAGCTATTCTGGGTTATTTGTTTTTCCAAAGAACTTAGAAACATTTTGTCAAGGTAAAAAAAAAAAAATTAGATTTTAATTATGACTATGTTTAATTTTTTTTGGGGGGGGTAGCCTGAGTTTCACTCTTATTGTCCAGGCTGGAGTGCAATGGCATGATCTTGGCTCACCACAACTTCCACTTCCCGGGATCAAGTGATTCTCCTGACTCAGCCTCTTGAGTAGCTGGGATTACAGGCATGCGCTCCCATGCCCAGCTAATTTTGTATTTTTAGCAGAGGTAGGGTTTCTCCATGTTGGTCAGGTTGGTTTCAAACTTCTGAGCTCAGGTAATCCACCTGCCTTGGCCTCCCAAAGTGTTGGGTTACAGGTGTGAGCCACTGCACCTTGCCGACTATATTTAATTTTTGTAGATAGGGATTCTTTTTCTCTTTACTGAATCTTCCTAGCCAAGAACAAGATATTGTCCATTTATTCATGTCTTTAGCTTTATTTTCTCTTGTAAAATTCTGTAGTTTATGTCAGTCGTTCAAGTTTCTTAATTTTATTCTAGGCATTTTATGTCTTTTATTGATAATCTGGTTTCCAGCTTCTTATTTGGTGTATAGGAAAGCTGTTAGTTTTTATTTTTTAATTTATTTTTTATTTACTTTTGAGACAGTGTCTTACTCTGTTGACCAGGCTGGAGTGCAGGGGTGTGATCACAGCTCAGTGGAGCCTTGACTTCCTGGGCTCCAGAGATCCTCCTACCATAGCCTCCCAAGTAGCTGGGACCATAGCCACGTACCACTGCACCTGGCTAATTTTACTTTTTATAGAGATGAGGTCTCATTTTGTTGCCCAGGCTAGTCTCGAACTCCTGGACTCAAGCACCCCTCCTCTCTCAGCCCCCCAAAAAGTATTGGGATTACAGTTGTGAGCCACCGGTAGACTCGCTGTGGATTTTATTTAAATTTTATAATTAATCATTAAACTTTTTCTGTTAGTTTTTGGTTGGTTCTCTTGAATTTTTAAAGTATACAACCATGTCATATAAGATAGTGTTCATTTTGTCTCTTCCTTTCTGATAATACATTCTTGTTTTACAGTTAAATGATTGTGCTCAGTGTTATTTCCAGCTAATGCCAAGTAATGGTGATGATGACAAACATCCGTTTCTTGCTTTCTTACTATTATGCAAGTACTTCTAGCATTTCAACAGTAAGCAGAAATGTTGGCTTTGGGCTAGAAGTGTATAGATTTTTTTAAAAAATCGTATTAATGAAAAATATGCACCATTTATATTACAAATTTTTTTCTTTTCTTTTTTTTTTTTTTTTGAGACAGTCTCTGTGTCGCCAGGCACCAGGCTGGAGTGCAGTGGCGCGATCTCGGCTCACTGCAACCTCCACCTCCCGGATTCAAGCAATTCTCCTGCCTCAGCCTCCCAAGTAGCTAGGACCATAGGCGTGCGCCACCATGCCCAGCTTATTTTTGTATTTTTTTAGTAGAGACTGGGTTTCACCATGTTGGCCAGGATGGTCTCAATCTCTTGACCTCGTGATCCACCTGCCTCAGCCTCCCAAAGTGCTGGGATTACAGGCGTGAGCCACTGCCCCCAGCCACAAATTTTTTTTTTTTTTTATGAGGAATAGTTGTAGAGTTTTATCAGATGTTTTACCAGTATCTGTTGCTGATGACCATAACGCTTTCTCCATTTTTTAAAAAAGTTCTGCTGGAAGAGTATTTATTTGTTAATATTTTGATTAGGAGTTTGGAATCAGTTTTCATGGATGAGATCAATCCTTGTTATTTTCAACTGAAGGGTATTTTATGAGCAACATATTTTGAATTCCTTTTTGCAGTCGTATAGAGGCTCTTTCAGGAAAAGGCTTTTTCCCAAGTTGTTAGACTTGGTCTGTTTGCTGTTGGTCAGTTTTCCCATTCTGCTGTTAAACCTTTTTTCTTTATCACATGTCTTTATTTTATATTGACTGTGCTTGAATATATCTGTTAAATTCAGCTTGGAAAGTGTTTAGATTTAAACAAATTACTCATTTCTTTATTCATTAAAGTCTCCCCTTTGGAAGGTAAAGAATTATTTTGACTTTATCCTCTTTTCTTTTTTTTTTTTCTCTTTTTTTGGAGACGGGGTCTCACTCTGTCACCCAGGTTGGAGGGCAATGGCACAGTCTTGGCTCATTGCGACCTCCACTTCCCAAGTTCAAGTGATTTTCGTGCCCCAGCCTCCGAGTAGCTGGGACTACAGGGGCCTGCCACCACACCTGGCTAGTTTTGTAGTTTTTGGTAGAGACAGGGTTTCACCATGTTGGCCAGGCTGGTCTCGAACTCCTGACCTCAGGTGATTCACCCACCTCTGCCTCCCAAAGTGCTGGGATTAACAGGTGTGAGCCACTGTGCCTAGCTCTTTTCTCACTTTCTCATTCTTAAATAATTCATTCTTATTCACCACCTCTCACTCCCACTCCCCTCCCATTAGGCTATTATCTGCATCCTTACTTTTGCTAGTTATTTAGTCTCAGACAGAACTGTTTATTATCAATTTTTTTACTAATACATGCAAATTATTAATATTTCTTTTATTAGAAAGATGCCCATTTATGTATTCTGGTAGGAAAGACATTTGATTTTGAAATCTGCCTTTTTTTTTTTTTTTTTTTTTTTTGAGACGGAGTTTCGCTC